TAATGGTTTGAAATTAACAGGGGGAGCAAATGATAAGAATTATATATTATAAAAATAAGAATTTAAATTTTTGGTTGAACTAAAAACATGACTGCACTTAAAAAACATTAAAAACCAGGTATAAATGCACCCAAGATGCATTGCAATCAGACAACAATGTGAAGGACAACAGATACTGAGCGCCTCTAGTTTGTTCGTCTGATTTAATTAACAATATCCAATTCACTGGATTAAACTTGGAAATCTTGTTTTTGTCTCATTTCTTTCCCAAAAATGCAAGAAATCATGGAAAGCATTTTGAATTGCCTGCCAAGTTGGAAATATTTGAGTGTTCCATCATCATTTACTCAACCTCATGTCATTCCTAACCTGTATGATTTTCTTTCTTCTGTAGAGCACAAAAGAAGACATTTGAAAGAATGTTGTTGTCCAAACAACATCGGAACCCCTTTGATTTTCATTGTATGTATAAACATTGTATTTTTAATATATCAAAAGAAAGTCATACAGGTTTGGAACAAACCTTTTTTGTGGGTGAACTATCCCTTTAAAACAACCATATAGGTACAGACCCAGTGCAGAAACTGTCAGCACTACAAAGGACCTGTTTTCAGTTTTAAGTCTTGTTAATACATACTCTTGCAAAACAAATCTACCAAACTACTTCCAACTGTAAGTTTGTATGTCTAAGAACTTCTAATGCAAGGTCACATTGCTCACGCAGCTTCAGCCCTCCTCTCAGGCTGCTTTGAAGGCTCGATTGAGTCCAGTAACTTGTGTATTAAACAATCCGTCATCAAGGCAAATGTTTTAATTGGTATGATTATTCTTTAATAATATTATGATTTCTTTAAGCAGGCATCGCCATTAAAAGTTAATGAGATGAGTATGACCATGACAATATAATTAAAACCCTCAGGAGTTTCTGAAGCTGACCATTAATAATTTAGTGTGAGCTGGAGCATGAGACGGCCTAGCTCAGTAGTCTGCTTAGGGAGAGAGAGAACGAGAGGACCGAGAAAATAAAACTGCTTTGCCTGTCATGATGTGAGTTTACTTTGATTAAGGGCTGAATTACCAGACTATCAGAGACGTGTCACTGTTAAATCCCTCTGTTAAAGACCTTTTGGGATACGCATCTCTTATTTGATACCAGTGTATTATAAACAGAATCGTCTGAACTCTGGAAAGTCGGGGATGAAAACAGGAGCTGTGCTCAAAATGCACGCAGTGTCCTCGGAGCGGAAGTATCACAGAGTACACATATTTGGAGTCGTCCTCACTCACACAGTGCTCTCCACTCAGGGTAAACATCTGGTGCAGCGCGGGTCTCTCTGTCTCCATCTTACAACAATATTTATCGCAGCGGGCTAATGCTCTGTCCTCAACTCACAGCTGAGAGCCTGTGAACCTCACCATGACAAACACAACCTGGAGTAAGTGAGTGTGTGTACAAAGGCCAATGCAGATAATCAGGTTACGTAGCACTGTGGGGAGTCAAGTTCACCTCGCTTTCATTTGAATTACCCTCACATCTGTACCCAGGGCAAGCAAAGAATGAAATCATTCTGTACAGCCATTTGAGAAAAATACAAATCCAAAAGCCCTTTGACCCTGAGAAATTACATTGCGGATCTTTAAAAAGCAGTTTTTACATTTTCTGAAGAAAATGAGTGCTGCTTGTACAAAACTTGTTGCTGTTGTGAAAGATCTTATCCCTCTTCCTCAATGCCTAATTTAAAAAAGTAGCGCATTATTGTGATAACTTGTCCTTAATAAAAATATTATATAATATATATATATATATATATATACATATTTATTTAAAAAGCTTGTCTTAACAGTTACGTAATGCAAAGCTAGTAAACTAAGTTGTTAACTTGCTAACTAAAAACAAAGTAATTTTTAGCCTCAGTTTATAATTCATCTAAATTAAAATATGTAAATTAAGTAAGATATTTTCATGATCAAGAAAATACACTGTAAAGTGATTTTCATTTCCAATCAGGCACCAAATTGAGTACCTATAAAAAAGGAAAGGAGATAATATCTTACATAACTCCGACAAGATTCTAGGGTGATTGCTAAGTGGTTGCTAAGGTTCTGGATGGTTGCTAGGTGGACACTTGCTGGCCCAAGTTAAAAGACTGTCCTCTGAAGTCTCTATGATATTCTGGTACATCTTTCAGTGTAATTCTATGGGATTTTTTTGTTGCTTTATCATCAGCCAAGTAAAACTCTGAGCTCTGATCACTCAGAAAAGTAATATTACACCTTTCCACAACAATCCTCATAATTTAGGGTATCTTGCCATGGGACAGAGTGAAATTTAATACGCAGGGTTAGGGGCAGTGCTGTTCTTACTAACTAAATATAAATCTAAAAACTATTAAAAATTATTGACATAAAATGAAAGCTGAAATAAAATAAATATAAATATTAGATGAAAAACATACATTTCTAAAATTTCTAAAACTAAAACTGAAATAAATATACATTAAGGCTAAATAGCAATAGAAAGTAAATAAATAGAAACAGAAAAAACGAATAAAAATGACAAAAGCACATAACTAAAATAACAGAACTTAAACTAAACCTAAACTAAAATTAAAATTGAAAATATAAAAGTTAATTAAAAATATTAATAAAACAATGTAATAATATAACACTGGTTAGGGGCTAAAACCAAAAAAAGTAATATGCGGTGTAGTAACAGTAATATCTAATATATTAACCTATTAATCAAACGTCCAAAGATTAAGCAAGCATGCAATTAAATAAAAGCCAGGAAAATTTATGAAAGACAAAAAAAAAACACACCAGAAAAAAAGTTAACCAAAACATCTATTTGTTGTCTTTGTTACTTTTCTGTTGCAAATGGCTTTGAGATGCAATGCAAATTTAATATGTAGGAAGGCTTTATTTGCTCTTTTTCAAACAGAAAGGCAAAAACTAGTTAGGAAGAGAGATCTAGAGGAAGAGAGAGAAGGCCTTTACTAGGCAGACAGGAAGAACGGGGGGTGCGGTGGGCCTTCATGCAGAAAGGCAGCGAGCTGAAGGCAGACGTCGTGCTTGGAAAAAGCTCATAAATCTTTATTTTGAGGCGGCCTCACTGCAGCACTACATTGCTTAAATGCTACGTCTGATTTAGTCTTCCCATTAGGTGACAGCTGAACTTTAACATTAATATGATAATATTGAAATAAGTGTGTGTTATTTACTTAGCGGCGGGGCAGGATGGAATAAGAGAGAGACAGAGGGAGGTGGGAAGCAAAGGAGGATGATGAATGATTTCTGGACAGCTTCTGTGACACCAGGCGGCCGTGGCCCCTCTAATGAGACTTGACAAAATACAGACATGCAGAAATATCGGTTACAGTCTGCGTCCCCGGCATCTTGCTTTCTCTCTCTGTGTCTCTCCTCCTGTCCCTCTCGCTCGCCGCACACGCCCTGATTGTCTACGACCACTGAAGCATCTATTTCAATTGGCACTTCCTTCCTGGCCCCGGGGTTTTAAATTTAGCTGGTGTCATTTACATATTACTCTTACTCAAAAAAAGACAAAAAGAAACAAAACCTTGTCATCAAGGTTCAGGAAAGGGTGCATAGGCACTTTATAAAACGGAGATGTGACAGACGTTTAACTGAATTGTGCGTGTGTGAAGGAGAGAGATATGAGGTTGGCGGAGAAAACAACAGTAAGTAGAACAAAGAGAGAGAGAGAGAGAGCGGCTGTGCATTGCTACAGTTATCTCACATCTACCACACAGGGAAAAAAGCCAATATCTCATCAGCCTGCTGATATGAATGATGAGTTCTGCTGTTTAAAGCTGATACTACATAGAGACAGAATAGTGGCAGGAACACTAGATCTGCTTTAGGGCAGAAGAGTGTTGAAAAAGCCCAAATGCATGATGACTAGGCCCACATGGAATCTGTGCCTGTAGGAGCCAGAACACTGAATCTGAACATACGTGATTCATTAAATTATATTGATAAATGCTGATGAAAAAAAAAATAGTATACACACACTATACTGTAAGTAACATATATACATACACTACCATTCAAAAGATTTTTGATAAAAATAAATATATACTTATAAATTAATACTTTTATTCAGCAAAGATGCATTAATCAAACGTAACAGTAAAGGCTTGTACAGGAAAAACAAAAAACTATTTAAAATAAATACTGTTTTTTTTAAATAGTATATTAAGATGCTTTCTGAAGGATCAGGTGACATTAAATGCTGGTGTAATAATTGCAAAAAAAAATCAGCTTTGCCATTACAAGAATAAATTACATTTTAAAATATATAATTTAATATTGTAATAACATTTCACAATATTACCATTTTTACTGTATGTTTGATCAAATTAATAAAGCCTTGGTGTGCTTAAGAGACTTCTTAAAATGTTTTTTTTTTTTGTTGAAAGTTCAACATTAAAAATTTAATTAATTAATTAAAAAAAATTATAATAATAATAATTTAGTGAATTTAGTGAAAACCTATATAAAATTACAAAAAAAGTATCAAATATGCTTATCAATAAACTATAGATAAAACAGATTGATATTTGGAACTTATAAACAGATTTTGAAAGAGAGTGCACAACTGAAAAGTGAAAAGCATAATTATGAAGGCCTATGGGAGTTTCTATGGGAATGCTAAATTTTTAAATCCAGAATTCCACACATTTTCCCACATAATAATCATATAAAAATGTGAATGTGCAGATACAATGGAAGTCAAATAATGACTAAAACTGATCTGTTACAGTATGTTCATTCACATACAACAATGTATTGAGAGGAAGTGGGGTGTTCGGGGTAATTGGATTTTACTGATTTACTAATTACAACACCATTAATATTCATGCTGTGCAATCGCAGTGCATAACAATAAGTGTGTACATTTGAGTACATTTCATGCAGTGGATGGGTATAGGGCTGCATCCATAGAGAAATATCAGAAACGGTCCCTACCTTCCTCTTACCTTCTCAGCATGCTGGTCAGGATCCGAGAGCTCTTGCCCAAGTTAGCGTCCGTCTCTCTCAGCTGTGGAGAAGAAGAAAGAGGAAAAAAGAAAAGAGAATGTCCACGTTAGAGGTCATGTTAAACTTGTGCTATAAAAATAGGCTTAGAATGTTTATAGACTTTAGTCAGAGAAGACTGTCTATAGCTACGAAATTAACTGTTATTAATCCAGTTTGTACTTCTTTTCATGCCTGTTGCTACACATTCTTTCTCTTTTAAGTGTATATATACTACCGGTCAAAAGTTTGGAATAATATATTTTTTTTTAATGTTTTTGAAAGAAGTCTCTTATGGTCACCAAGGCAGCATGTATTTGATCAAACATGCAATAAAAACTTTTATTATTACAATTGAAAATAAGTTTTCTATTTTAATATACCTTAAAATGCAGTTTGAATGTAATTTAAAATGTGACGGCAAAGCTCTATTTATTCTAGTCTTTAGTGTCACATGATCCTTCAGAAATTATTCTTCAGATCCTTCAGATATTATAAGACTAATTTTACTATTCCAAAATATTTTACTGGTAGTGCATGTTTTACATTCAATATATGGCTGAAGTAGGGGGATGCATAAGTAAAGGCTATACATCTGGAGATGTGTGTGTGTGTGTGTGTGTGTGTGTGTGTTTAGGAATGCTGACATTGCTATGGAAGTGAAGCCAGAGCTCTGGCAGCGTCAGATACGTGATTCTGGCTGGCCTCCTTGAGAAAGCCTCCTTCTCTGTCGTCTCAGTCAGCAGGGACATGTGTATGTGTGTGTGCGTGTGCGTGTGTGTGTTAGCGGGCAGGCTTGGGGACAGATGTGGTTTTAGGCGGGTTTGGGTTCTGGCACCACCAACAGCCCAAGAGCAGCCTGATGTCTCTCTCAATGATAGATCTGTCCCATGAGAGCTTCCTTGGCTTTTCCCAAAATCCCTCTTTCTTTCTCTCTCAGGTCAGAGTTGTGCCAACACAAAAACACATGGCGGAGCTCTCTGTGAATTAGGAACCCAAAACAAGACCCACAACAAAAGAGATTACCAGTACAGCAGATCTAGCGCAGAGTCCGATTACAGACTTGTACAGTAAATGGTCTTGGTAAGATGATTCCCAGCTCGATTCAACACCTGAATTTCATTGAAAAGAGTTAAAAGAGCTACAGTCACGCAGACCTAAACCTAAATAAAGAAAAATACAATGAACAACAATCAAAGCATAACCAGAAACAGGAATATTAGCCATTTAAAAGGACATTATAAGCATAATATTTACACTTTATGAAATTTGGTCACTGTATTCATAATCAAAATGTGACTCTTATAATCTTGTAATCTTTTGATCTCAAATTGATAAATAGAAATCTTGACATTTCAAAAAGCCACTATAAGTAAAAACAGGAACAAGTGGTGAAGAAAAATTCTGACCAATGAGGGCGCAGTTTTTATTTTATTAACAAATTTTGGTCTGTTTTGAAACGCTGCCTTGGCAAAGCTAACCCAGCCAGGGAGATCAAAGAAAAACAGACTATGAAAACCGAAAACGACCAGAACTCTATGGGATTTAATGTTTACCATGCACAAAACATCAGAATGTCAGAACCATCTTGACATTCAGAAATGCTGCTTTAAGCTAATCACTGTAATATAAATGGCACACATTCTGACCAATGAGGTGGCAGTTTGTTCCCATGTGACAAATTTTTGCTCTTTTTGAAATATTACATTGTGAATCAAATCGCAGAACAAAATGCAACGTTGTAACAATTTAGTCTCTGTTTCGGAACAAAGAAACCAAATCATGAACAGAAAACTACCTAAAGTCTGTGGGATCCCCCCCCCCCCC